GACCTGGATCTTGGTATATGCTGTCAGCTTCTTAAGTCATACTCTCTTTGTGTGTCTAGAGAACATAATAGCTGCTTTGCCAGTGCGTTTATCCAGCTCAACATCTAGGGAAAGAATGTCAGAGATCGTTGAGGCAAGGTACACAAAGTCATGAACAACCTCCAATTCTTGTGTGGAGATGGTAACAGAGGGAGGTGAGTCCACGTCCTGACTTGTGTTTTCTTCAGGCTGATTGTTAGTCCAAAGTCTTGGCAAGCCTTGCTAAAACGATTCATGAGTTGTTGGAGGTCTTCAGCAGAATGGGCAACTACAGCTGCATCATCGGCGAAGAGGAAGTCCCACAGTCATTTCAGCTGGACTTTGGTTTATATCTTATAAACCCTAATTCCTTAAATTTTAGATATAAGGACATTAGCTTAGAGTGCTTGTTCTTGTGTAGCGAATATGTTTCTTTCTTTATAGTCCCCAGTTTTATACATGCCTGAGCTAAATTATAATGTTTTCCATCAATATTTCTCAGATATCCTCTATGCAGTGGTTTGTTTTTAAATTGTTGTTTCTTATATTTAGCCTTTGTTTCTGTTATTTTCAGAATGTTTTCCATTTTCACCACTTTAAGTAATTTTTCTCTACTTCTATTAATATAATAATTTAGGCTTCTTTTTTTACTACCTGTTATATTTGTAGTAACCTACATCATCATCATTCCTTAGCATTACTGGTGCATGGCAGTGTACTAAAGGGTTAAGCTTAAACATTAGGAGTCAACTCCTAAAAATGTACAGATGAGATAATGTATTTGCAAAATCAGTTTTTTAAATTTCAGTAAGCATTTTTGTTCCAGGCTGTGGAGCCAGAGGTTGGGAGTGTGCCTCCAGGGAGATGAGTCACCCTCTGTGGCCTTTAGTGCTACCAGTCAGATGTCTGGATAGGCAGCTTAAAGCCAGATAGAGCCACAAAGGGCTCAGAGAATCTCCCTAAAAAAGAATGAATAGGTTCTTCTCCCCATTGGGGCAGCCCCTCAGTTTCGGCAGGAAATGACAAAGGAGTTGTTTTGAAAACTTTCAAACTCTCTTCTTTATTTACACCCACATCCACCAGCACATCACTTATGGGATCAAAACCTTTCAACTCCGGCAACAAGCAGCAACTATCAGAAATGAAACTTTTCTCATAGTCCCAAGGACTCAGCGGCGGGACCCCCCAAGCCATTCCTGATGTTTTGGTCTCTGGAGAGGGGTGCTCCGCAGTGCACAAATTGTCCCACAGCATGTGTGCCGCACCCACCCTCTCTCATCAGGTTTGTCATGGAACGGATTATGTGAGACCGCCGACTCACACTGTAGCTCTAATTCGCAGGGCGCAATGATCACTGTCCATTCTCTGGTCACGTAACGGGCTGGTATCTCTTTCTCTGTCTCTGGTCTGGTAGAAGTCCTCCCACCTGGAGGTTTGGAAAGTCTCTCACAAGGCTCTGTGTTCGAATTTTCTCGAACACCTTCTTGCGTTCCTCTTGTCTCTTTCTCTCATAATCTGCCACTACACTACTAAACCACCTCACTCCCTCTTCATTTATATCCTCCTCCCAAACCAACACTTCTTGCTCTGCCCATTCCCCTTCTATCAACTCCTGTCAAACATACCTCTTTATTTCCCACTCTTTCATCTGATTCTGCTTCTCCCGCCTTTTCTTTAACTGTCATTTTGTTTGTGTGAGGCTCTTATTTGTCTTTTACCCATGTTCTCCACAGCTAGGGATGGCACACTTATGCTCTCCGTTCCTTCACACTGGACCCATAATTTCTGTATCGTAGTCTGTAGGCACAGATGGTGTCTATGATTGGACAGAAGCTTGGAGATGATCTTGCATCAAAATAATGTGGGTCCATGAGAATCTATGCTACAGATACATGTTTTTGCTCCACTGCAGTAGCAGGCTCTGAAGGACCCATGATCTCTATGTTGTAGTCTGTGGGTACAAATGGGACTTACTTTTTGGCAGTGGTTTACAGGGTGATCCTATGTGAAAATCATGGTGTTCCATGAAGATCTGTGCCTCAGATCCATGTTTTTGCGCCACTGGAAAGCTATGAGTTGAGAGACCCATGATTTCCATGTTGCAGTTTGTGAACACAGATGGTGCCTATAGGATTAGGCATCCTTCAGTCTTGAAAGACTATGGTAACGTGCTCT